GTAATCCCTACAAAAAAAGATCGAAATGGAAATGATATATCTATAATGATACTTGGTACCAAATGGCAATATCGTGCCAGATGGGATCCTATAGTAAAAGGTGAATTTACCGCTACATACAATGGAAAGACTATTACAATTCCACTTTCTACTCAAAAAAAAGTGCGTAATACATTTAATACAGAAAAATTAATCACATCAGAGGTAAACTCGAAGAGCCATGATTCGGAGAATCACCTAACGACTTGTCCTGCAATAAAAAAAAATGCGTAAATTGTGAAAAATATGATGAACTCGAAAAGCAACTCATAAAAACTGAAGAGTGGCTTGATATGGCTTTAAACGCAGGTAAAGTTCTTGCAAAAAGATGTTCCCAACTTACTGAGACAAAGATGGATTTATAGGTGCCAATCTATTAGTATCTTTCATTAATTTTTCAAGATCCGTCTTTCTTTTCGATGTATTATCTATGAAAGAGGTACTACTTTTTTTTACTGCACATGGAGAAGTAGAGCTTCGAATCTTTGGTTGTGTTAGCTCTATTGTTTCATTATTAACCTTATTTTTTTGACTAGCATTTTTTAATGATATCGACCCTATATTAATTGGTTGTGATACTACTTCTCTAGGATCTATTGGCGGATGATTTTTCCTCCATATTTGATATATACGCCTTGTTGATATTTTATATTTGATAGCCATAGCTTCTGATACACGTTTCATCGAATTTTTGGTATTAATGATATCTTGTATATTATCATCTGATAAAGGAGTTGCATCAGATCGCAAATATCGAATTATTTTTTCAGAGTTTTGAGTCATAATCTATTTATAAGAAATAAAAAAAAATATTTAGATATAAATTCGAAAGTTTTTCAATCTAGTTTCGATACATATCTAGAATATTCAGTAAATATTCAATTTTGTTTCGATATATCTATATCATTTGGTTAACATCTAATTCTATTTTGGTAAATATTCGATTTAGATATATCGGTTAATAACTAATTCTATTTCGGTAAATATTTGATTTATAAATATCAATTAATATCTAATCTTTTTTATTACGACACTATAAGATATAAGAATAATCTTCAGGAGAAAATAGAGGTGCATCAGATCTTAAATATCTAGACATAGTTTTATTATAATAAATTGAAAGTTTGTAATTTATAGGTATTATTAATATTAGTTATCCTGTATTTAATTTATTTTTTTCATTGATATAGTAACGGAACTAGTGTTAAAACACATATGTCTCAAATTCATACATTATCAGATATAGGTGAAGGCAAAAAACTTGGAGACATGCCTGCCAATCGATATCCGTCTAGCCGAACAGAACTTGAAAATAAGCTTGTTTGTGCAAATCGTGATCGGGAAATTGCTATAGAATGTGGTAATCGACTTGTTAATAAATGCTCTATCTTGGATAAAGACAATAAGTGTATACAACATGATTTAAAACAATTCAATAAAGATAAAGAGAAAATTTTTAAGCATGTTTACCAACTTATTAAGGAGGTTAAACGATTGAAAGTAAACAATACTAACCTTACATCCCAAATTACTCAATCACAGATTTCTTGTGATAAGTATAAAACCAGGTATGATATATAATTAAAAGAAATAAAATCACACCAGGCTATGATTAAGATATTGGAGGGTAAGTTAACATCAGCTCAAAAAGATGCATTTTCGATTCAGGAAAGCTTATCAAAAACAGAATCCGAGAATCTATCCTTTAAATCTAAAATGGTTGAGTTTAAACAAATAGAAGTTGAATTGGACCGTGTAAGAAGTGAACTTAATCACCTGAAATTGGAGGCTATATCAAAACCTGTAGGGGCAGAGCCCCATTGCTTTGCAATAGACCCTTTGGACTATAATTCGAAAAATCATCTAATGACCTGCTCTGCAATAGTTGGTGGAGATGACGAAAAAAATATAGTCAAGTCTGACTTACAGAGTGAGGATGTTTTTGCATCTAATATATCTATAATTAGTGAATCTACCAATAGTCTTAGACCGTATCTAGCATGCAGAAAAAATATAGAAGATATCGAAAAAATTGATGATGATGACGGAGACGTCCCTATACCTAAGGTAAGTGACTCACGGAGTGAGGATGTTAATGCATCTGAAACTAGTAAAGATATTATGTTAGACACACATATAAATTCAGATCCGCAGATTTCAGTAGGAGGAATAGAAGCAACTCCTGTCGTAGCAAGTGGTTTAATGTCACCATTATTAGCATATATATTACTTATCTTACTGTTTATTGCTGTTATATGGTTTGTGGTATTTAGACGCAAATTGAGTATAGGTAAAAAAAGTGATCAGTTACGGAATATGTGGATCAGATAACAGATATTATCTATTTGAACTTGGATATTATTCGTATACAAAAATATAATAGTTTTTAATCATGACTAACACTTGTTATAGTTGTAAGGAAATATCGTCACCTTTATTTACAGATTGCATGCCTCAAAGAGGCGTCCCAAGCTTGTTACACATTCCTTTATGGTTGTAGGGATGAGATTTCGCGGTGGTCATAAGTTTAAGAAATCTGATATCATCACCCTCGAACCAGAGCCTTCTAATACGTATGATAAGAATACGATAAAAGTTATGATAGATGGTATTCATAAAGCATACGTGGCAAAGAATGAGAATGGGAGTATTGGAGATTTGATGAAAAAATATCCGAATTATCAGATCACTGCTCATGGGAAAAAGAACTATAATCAATTAGCGTCTTTAAACCTCGAATATCCTTGGATGGTTTGTGGAAGATGTCGTGATACACTACAAGCATCGAGAGATTATGACTATACTTATTAATGGAACTTCAGACTTGCAAGTAATTTTAATTTTTGTTGATTGATTTCACTGTACAATTTATTATGAAAATTATAAAATATACATCGAGAAAAAATACATAAATAAGTTATACATTAGCATGAACAAGCCGATGCACACCCTCCAAGAAATGCTCAACAAAGCTCTACTGTTACTTCACCATTACGTACTTAATTTTATTCCTGATTCCTGTATTTTTATCATATATTTTTATTGCAGAGCAATGGGCTACGCCCTATCCTGTATATTTACCGTATTTATATATTTTTTATTAATAAAGATTTTCAATTAACGTACAACATATCATGTGTTATTTTTGTATAATGTATATATGATCGAGAATTTTTCCGAAATAATTTTTTTAACTTGATACAGATGTCTAAAAAATTAAGATCAGATGCTACACGCTTATCGCCCGGAGCGATTAGTGATATAATTATTGCTAAGGGTACAGCAAATGCATTACCGATTCTAGCTAAAAAATATAATGTATCATATGCACGAATTCGTGAAATATGGAAATTCGCTATTGCGATAAATAATTAGTAAAGCTAACCGATATATACATAACAAAAATCGTTAAATCATTTTCCCGCGATCACATGGGGTTGAGGCTCTATATCACATACATAAATCACTTATAATTCAAGTAGACGAATTTTAACTTTA